ACGTCAAAGTATCCTTGAGCAAGACATTCAACTCAAAATTGCTTGTGGTGTATGTGTATGGGGGGAAAGTAAGTCACTTTAAACAAAGCGTCAGACAAATGACTGCTACTACAAACTACTACTCCCCGTCTATTCCATCTGTATACAATATAAAAGATCATTGCAGATTTGATTTAATAACCTTTAAAACCCAACAAATTCTGAAAAACAAAGTCAGCACTTAAACATCCATTCTGTGGGTTTGTCCAGAGTTGTGTGGTGTTTGAATTGTTTTTTCTCTCAGAGAAGGTGAGCGTTTATCATAACCAATTTTGGTTTTGTGAATAACAAATACCCACTTACACAGACTACTTTCATCAGTCTGATGGCGTGATAACCAACTGTTATCAGTCAGTGAAAATCTTCACTTTGACAAGGCCACTGAAGTTATGGTGGCTTTTGTAGAGAGTGCACTCAGCCAGCAGATTGGTCAACATAATGTCAGTCATAAAGCCCTAAATTGCTAATAACTGTGTTCCAACAGGATGTCTTGATCCTGAGGGCATTCCTCGTAAGGTCAGCCAAGTCTTCTTCTCATGTTCAGTTAAAATCCTAACCATTGTTATATTACTTGCAAGAGACACTGATGTCACTACTCTGTTTTTTATTCAGTTGAATGAGATGTTTGGGTACAAATGCCTAAACTGCATCTGTGAGGAGTCCACCAAGACTGTGTCTTGCAAGCCTAAGGTGTGCCCACCACCACCTCTAATAAACTGCACTGGTCCAGGGTTCGTTATTGTCCAACAACCGGATCCCATAGACCCCTGCTGTTCTACCTATGTTTGCCGTAAGACACATTACCTCAATGCACATTTGAGGGTTAAAATTTTCAAATTACTGCTGATGGTGATTCTTGAAGATTACTCTGAATAATTACTGTTAATCATCTCCACAGAATGTCACAGCAACACGTGCCCAGTCACCAGCATGAACTGTCAGGTTGGATTTACTTCAGTTGTCAGTGTTCCTGAAGGGAAATGCTGTCCAGAACATACATTTGGTGAGCTCATTTATTCACAGTTTGAAGTTGTATAAAACCTATTGACGGCGGAGACACGTTTAACACAGTTTCCATTGTCTTGCTCTTTTCTAGAGCCTAAAGGAGTTTGTGTCCACGAAGGAAGTGAATACCAGGTAAACAAGAAAATGGATTGTACTGAGAACATCAACACATTCATTTTATGATTTTATGACTGCTGCTGCCCTTCTGAATGACTAAAATACAAACATGAACATTTTCTCTTTGCATTTCCTAGCCTCGTTCTTCGGTTCCTGTTGCTACATGTCAGAGTTGCACCTGTACCAATGAGGTGGACCCAAGTTCTAAACTATTCAAAATAGTTTGTGAGTTTCAGCAATGTGATAAAAATTGTGAAAAGGTGAGCAAGATCACATTATTCCCATATACACATTGTTTGTTTTTCTCAGAATATGTTTACTGAGAGGACGAATTTGTAAAAATGGACATGGCAACTAAATCCTCCCCCCTTTCTTTCAGGGATATGAATATGTGCGAACTGATTCGGACAAATGCTGTGGAAAGTGTGTACAGACACAGTGTGTCGTCAATGTTAATGGTACCAAGCAACTCTTGATGGTAAGTTGGATCATCTCTGTTGGCTATCACTCCAGATGTTCATGTTTAATAGATTACAGGACCTCAGTTTGTTTATATCTGTGTGTGCATACGTGTATGTTTGTCTGTACTTCCATCTCACTGCTCTCCAGCAAGGACAAATCTGGTCACCACCTGAGAATAAGTGTGAGCACTACACATGTGTTAAGAGTGGTGAGACTTTAACAATGACCAGATCACACATTGTCTGCCCGCCATTTGAGCAGAGAAACTGCCAACCTGTAAGTATCACTTTCAATAAATTATTCTGCATTGACTTAATAAATGCTGTAGATGGTATAGCAAATCATTTTCTGAAAGCAAACGACATCATCCCTTTTGAAAATAGTTTGAAATGTTGTTTATTTTTTTCCTTAGGACACAATACAGACTGTAGCAAATGGCTGTTGTAAAATTTGTGAGTATGACATTTTCTTTACTTTTAAATAGAAGGTACTTAAATGAAAACAATTGTATGTCTCTTTTAAAAAGGTGTGGAGAGGGAGAAAGCCTGCAAATTACAATCCATGGAAACTGAGATTATGTTTGGGAACTGTCAGTCATACCAGGAAGTAAATATGACCTATTGTGAAGGATCCTGCAACACTTTCACCAAGTAACCATGATATTATTAATATTTCTCATTCCTCTGGAATATCACAAACCTATTAAAAATGTTTTTGGTATATGTTTCTGCAGATTTTGAGTTTATTAATCAATCCTGCCTCTGCTTTCTTCAGGTACTCTGAAAAAGCAGCGACTCTGCAGCATTCTTGCTCCTGCTGTAAGGAGACACGCTCCAGCAATCGCACCATTGACTTGCACTGCCTGAATGGAGATGTGGTTCCCTACACATACATCCATGTGGAGGAGTGTAGCTGTAGCCCCACAGACTGCACCACAGCTGCTGGACAACCTGCTCGCAGGAGGCGACGCTTCACACTAGTGTAATAAAAATATGTCATCACATTAGTGGATGTGGGATGTAGAAGTTTAATCCCATATTGTTTTCACAATTATTGCATCTCCTACAAAATAATTGTCATTGTAGAAAGAGTATTTATCTGTTGATCAAATAAAAAAATTGCAACTCTGTTTATGTCCCATCTCATCTATTGTGTTGTTTGTCCAATCCAGCTTTTGTTTGCTCACTGTTTAAATTTGTAATCATGATTATCAATTTTCAAAACTAACAAGAATTTTTATTATCAATTTCACACAGACCCAAAAGATAGATCTTTTGTGGACTTACAAAAGTCGCCTCAAGAAGGTTGTGTGTTCAAACCCCGGTTGCCCCGGCCTTTCTGTGTGGAGTTAAGTGGTGTCTCCAAAAGTGTCCTTAGGTGTGGTTGTGAGTGGTTGTCTATCTATGTGTGGCCCTGTGATGGACTGGCGACCTGTCCAGGGTGTACCCAGCCTTAAATGGCATGAATTATCATTTTTCTAAAATACAAAGACCTTTTAGGGTAGGGCTGACATTTAAAGGGGCATAATGTAGTTTTCAACGGCCGCTTGTGGTGTGGTTTTTAGATTGCAACCAGGTATGTGCCCATACATGTGCTCGAACTCATGAGCTTCACACAAAATACTGGAAACTCATGTAAACTTCCACTGCAACGTTACAGTAATATTTTTATCATCCATGCTCGTTGCATGATTACGCTACACTGACTGCAATAAAATGAGTTCTAATAGTATAACAATCTAAAATATCAAAAACTCACACCTAAGAACAATTTAGGGTCACCAATCAACCTAGTCCGCATGTCTTTGGACGGTGGGAGGAAACCAGAGCACCTGGAGAGAGCCCATGCAGACATGGGGAGAACATGCAAACGCCATACAGAAAAGCCGGGGACGACTAAGGTTCAAACCCACAACCTTCTTGCTGTGAGGCGACAGTGCTAACCACCGCACCGCCCTAAAATATAATTGTTTTTTTTAAAATTATTTTTCACATTCCCTTCTTTTGACACAAAGGGTAAACACAATCTCATATCTTTGAGAAATCAAATGATAAACTAACTGCAGAAATGTCTTCATGGGTACAAAAAAATGATTAATGAATAATTAAAACAATGAACCAAAACAAAAAAGGAAAACAAAGGAAAGAGAAAAACATGTCCTATATCCTCTGTACAGTAAGTATTTTGTACAAGTAAGGGCCAGGGTCAAAAACATAGAATGATTTATTTTTAAACTGTTAATACCGGAATTAAGAACCCTAGGTGCCAAAGTTGGGCATTTAATCATTCTTTGAAAACTAGAAATAAAATACCAACAGATAATCCTGGAAGTCCGACCAGAAAAAAAATTACATGGGCTTAGGAACACTTAACACACATAAATGCAAGTTGAAACTCTACCAAGAGAGAAAACCGTATATAAACTAGATCCAGAAACACCACCTTCTGGGGGCCTGGACTCATTTAAGATGGACTGAGGTGAAGCACCATGGTCAAACAAACGCAAAATTTGAAATTCTGTTTGGAAGTCATGTACACAGCGTCCTCGGGCTAAAGGGGAGAAAGACAATCCGGCTTGTTATGAGCGCACAGTTTGAAAAGCCAATATCTGTGATGGTATGGGGTGCATTAGTGGACACGGCACATTTTTGAAGGCACCATTAACTGAATGACATCAGGTTTTGTAGCAACATATGCTGCCAAGTAGATGACGTCTTTTTCAGCAGTCATATTTCAGCTAGACAATGCCAAACCACATTCTGCAGGTATTACAATAGCTGGGTGCTACTGGACTGCTTGCAGTTGTTGACTTGTCACATTATGAAACATAAAATACGACCAATGAGACCTTGAACTATTGCAGCTGAAATCCTACATCAAGCAAAAATAGGAAAACATTCCACTTTCAAGATTACAGCAGTTGGACTCCTCAGTTCCCAGACTCTTTGTGTTGTAAAAAGAAGAGGTGATGCAACAGAGTGATAAACATTACCCAACTTTTCTGAAACATGTTGCTGGCATCAAATTCATCAAAAAACAATATAATTCATCAGTTTTCAATAAATATGGGGTTTCAATGTTTTGCCCATCATCACATTGTGTATGTATTTACATTTTACACAATGTGCCAACTTGTTTGGAAATAGGGTTGTAGAAGTACAGTCCATTTACCATTTAAAGTGCAAAACAAACAACATCAATTTCTCTGGAAGGGTGTTGTAGAACTCTTTGTTTAATCATGTGATATGGAAGATGAAGAAAAACTGTGTTTACCATATCCTGGCAAAGATCAAAGAGGGTGGGAGCAAAAAAAGATGAGCAACCTCAATATAAAGGGCTGTCCGGTACAGACTGACTGTTACCTTCTTTCATGTCAAAAGATCAAAAGCCCTCAGTGGCAACAATGAAGGGGAGATTTGTGTGGTTGTGTTTCCTTACTTTGTCTGCCAGTGTCATTAATATCACCGCCAGGCAGGGTAAGTCTCTAAATATTGTAGATTCTGTGGAACAGTTTTCAGGATTGGATAAATGATAAATAAATTTTTATGCCACATACCACATATGCATGTATAATGTACACCACTGTCTGTAATTTATTATGCTCAAACTTTTCACTTCTAAAGAATGCTAAGGAGGTGTAGCCTGGAAGATGTATCTCATTGCAATAAGACATGTATCATTTAATACATATTTTATTTTCAAAACAGTAAAAATAATGCTGCTAACATTTCTTTTTTCATTTTTCCAGTTCACAACCATGTCAGCAGCATCTGCAGCACTTGGGGAAGAGAGCACTTCAAGACATTTGATGGTGATGTGTACCAGTTCCCTGGTATGTGTGAATACAACCTGGCCTCAGACTGCCACGAGTCCTACCATGAGTTCTCAGTACACATGAAGAGGGAAGAGAATGATGGAAATCCTACAGTCAGTTATGTGGTGGTCACCATCAATGACCTTTTATTCCACCTCACTAAGAGCCAGGTCACTGTGAACAGCGTGCCGTAAGTAAAAACAGCAGAGATGTTTTTTGTCCCCAAAATGGAAAAATGTCTGAAAACAACTACAATTCAGTCTTTTTTATATTTCTGCATTATAATTAAGACAACATTCTCTCTTTCCCAGTGTCAAAATGCCCTACAACGAGGCAGGGGTACAAGTGGAAAACATTGCGGTTTACATCAAGCTCCAATCCAAAGTTGGCATCACTGTCATGTGGAATGGTGATGATGCAGTCATGGTAAAAGTTTTAACTTTCAATACTGCTGTCTATTAGAACAAATCAAGATATAACATGTAAACACATTGCTCTCTTAAACAATAGATTTAGAATATTATTGCTGGAGGGATCTGTGGCACTCACTGCAAAATTACATTTAAAACATTCAAAAGCAATTATTAATTTGAACTACTATCCACTCAATAAATAGTCCTTATGAAAACTAAATGGGGTATTTCAAAACCTAGACAAATAAAACCAAATCTGCATGGATCTGGATGGAGAAAGAAGTGCAACAAGGACAATAGAGTGCTGTAGGGTGAGCTGAGGTTCTGCAATGAAACCTGATTATAAAATAAGATTTTCTCACTCATGATACACTGTAATATCTTACTTGCAGATTTCAGAAGCTTCAGTAGGTCACTTTATGACAGTGTGAAATTAAATTGTTTGGTATTTTATGATTAAATAACAATACAGTCAGTATGAGAAAAATGTTTTAACCCTTTGTCATGTCTGTTGTAGGTGGAACTCGATCATGACTATGTCAATCGTACCTGTGGACTATGTGGAGACTTCAATGGTGTTTCTGTCTTCAATGAGTTCATTCTTAATGGTTTGTTATTCAATGAAAACATAAATGTATTTAAAGCATTAGGAAACTATTTTACAATAAGTCATCAGTTGTATCTTTGACATTTCACACTGTAATTACAATCAACTGCAGGTCGCAAAATGAGTCCCATTGAGTTTGGCAACAATCAGAAAGTCCATCATCCAGATGACGATTGTGAAGACCCTTATGAAAAGGAAAATGAGCCAAAGGAGACTTTTACTGTGCCAGTTTCATGCAAGGAGTTTGTGAGTTTATTATCCAACTAATTTTAGCAATAGTGATATTTTGTAGCATTTTCAACACAGTAACTTTGTCTCTATTACCCATCTCTTTTTACCTTTTAGCAAACCACCTGTGAACGAATGCTTCGTTCAGAGTCCTGGAGCTCCTGCACCAAACTGATTAACCCTGAACCTTACATAGAGGCCTGTGTGCAGGACATGTGTGGCTGCAACAACAGTACAAATAACTTCTGCATCTGCAGCACACTTTCGGAGTTGTCTCGGCAGTGTTCCCATGCAGGAGGGCAGCCTCCCAACTGGAGAACACCTCAGTTCTGTGGTAACGTTTACATTTTTACTGAAGTAGAAGTACTGCTATCATGCTAAAATTTTACAAATCAGGAAGTACACTTACTGGTGTAAAGATGTAGTACAATTACAATTGAAAACCAATCATTACAAATGTATTCTACATAGAAGTTACAAGTTACAGTATTAAAAGTAAGTTTCTCATGCAATTCTAGGATAAGAAATAAGAGTTAAGATATAATTCAAAATATATTCAAAATATTTTATTGCAAACTAATAAACAAACATTAAAACTTTATTTTGCTGTCAAATTGATGAACCTTATCCGTCATATTGGTAATACTCAGCAAAGTACAGCATTAAATAAGTATGGACGTAAAATACGTACATATATGTATATGTTATATTAAGGATAACACCGATGTTACTTAATCTAGCATTTCTTTGGACAGCAGTAGAATTACAAAACATATATAGGTGATATTAGGCTATGGCTACACGCAGTTGTTAACTGGATACATTCATTATTGGTCTTAGTTTTCTCAGTCTTTTTTGTGTAGCATATCTTCTTGTCCCTCTGTTGATTTTAATTGAACCGTATCTTCCCAGCTAAACAGTGCCCATTCAACATGGTTTATGAAGAGAGTGGTTCCCCTTGTATGGTTACATGCACACATCTGGAATCAAGTTCACTGTGTGAGGACCACAAAATGGACGGCTGCTTCTGTCCTAATGGTTAGTGGGGTTTACATGTACACACATGTTTCTTACTACATTGTTTCCTGTTTTATTACTGTTATATGCACTTTGTCTTGCTCATGTCACATGTGTTTATCTCAGGAACTGTGTTTGATGATATTTCCATGCGAGGGTGCATTGCTCAATCTGAATGTCAGTGCAAGCACGACAAAATCTATAACCCTGGTGAGGTTTATCAACAGGTCGGGAAAAATTGGTATGTTACACGTTTAATAATGTAAACAAAATGTATTTGGATTCCTTAATCATGTCTTTTGTAAACTCAAATTATTTGGGTTGTTTCAGTACATGTTTTGAGGGTAGATGGGCTTGTGAGAGCCTTCAGACTCCTGCTACATGTGCAGTTGAAGAGGGTTCACATGTAACTACATTTGATGGGAAAACTTACACTTTCCATGGAGACTGTTTCTACACCCTAGCCAAAGTGGAAAGCAAGGTAACTGAGTCATTGCTTTCTTCTATTAAATGTGACACATATATAATCTGCTGATGATTAAATATTTTGCTAGGTATTTAAATCTGCTCATACTATGTGTATTTCAGGATGATGCAAGTCCAAATTTTACCATCCGGGCCCAGTTGGTGCCATGTAGACACCTAGAGTCTGACACTTGTCTTAAGAACCTTAAATTCCTGCTGAACAATGACAGAAACAACGTAAGTTAAGTCAAGTCAGTTTAAATGTAAATGCTCCATTCTTGTATAGCGCCTTTCTAGTCTTTTCGACCACTCAAAGCGCTTTTACACTACATCTGCATTCACACACATTCATTCACTGAATGTATTTGGACTCCTTAATCATGTCTTTTTGTCAAATACTAAGTGTCATGTCAAATACTAAGTGATCAAACAGAAACTAACATTCACACACATACACTGGCAGAACAGCCACCAGAGGCAATTTGGGATTCAGTATCTTGCCCAAGGATACTTCGACATGCAGCCTGGAGGAGCCAGGGATTGAACCGCCAACCTTCTGATTAACGGGCAACCCGTTAATCTAAACACAGTCGCCCCTTTTTAGAAGACAAGTCATTTTTTAATTCAAACTGATTCAACACTCCAATGATTGAGTCTATTTTTATTCAGGTATTAACGTTCACTTCCGATGGCACAGTAAAGCAGAATATGCAGACTATCACTTTGCCACACCACTCAGGTAGGTCACACAATAAGAAACTCTGAATTATACATATTATTGTCTTCTTTCATTTATGCTACGACATCAGCAAATTATGTGTTTTTGTATTTCTCTTTATTCAAAGGTGACATCAACATATTTCATGCTTCATCCTTTCACATCTTGCTCCAGACCAGCTTTGGGTTGCAAATTCAGGTCCAGCATGTGCCCGTCATGCAAGTCTATGTCAGCCTGGAACCAGGCTACAGAGCAAAGACACGCGGTAAGTTTTACATTTGTCTTAAAACGAAATATTGGCATCATCAAAACCTATGTCAGAAGATAATATGTATACTGTATATTAAGTTATTACCTACTGTAGGTGTTAAATTATACAGTCTATCTGATAAGGAGGTTAGAGTAATTATGATGTTTTATTTTTGTTTGTTTTAAACAAGTGAGAGGGGTCTGAGTAGTGAAGCCAATTTGGCCAGCAGGGGTGACTCCACTGGTGGCAAAAAAAAGTTCAATTGGACAGAAGTCACTGACAGAATGACCCCAATTCTTACTTGATTTATTAGTTCAGTAAAGACAACAAAACACAACTATAATTGGGGTCTAACTGTAAAAACATGCTCAAAACTACAATAAAATCAATAGTTTATGACAATACAATGCGGATCACAGCATAGTCATATATAGTCGATATTTGTTGGCCAAGAAGCGCCAAACTGAAAACACATTTGACCATGAAAATATTTGGTGTCCTTAGGTTTATGTGGGAACTACAACATGGTCCTGTCTGATGACATGAAGACTCCACAGGGGATTGTGGAGGGAACAGCAGCAACATTTAGTAACTCCTGGAAGGCTAACTTCATGTGCCGAGACAGAGAGGAAAGACTTGATGACCCCTGTGCCCTCAGTGTGGAAAATGGTAAATGTGTATTTCTTTGACTATTATTCTCTGCTTGAAACTGTTTTTCTGTAATGTAATGTTATATTTACACCCATTGAACAGTGCAACACATTTGAACTCATTAAAAATTTTAAAGTTAACTGTTCTCCACTTTTAGAGAATTACGCCAAACACTGGTGCGCCTTGCTACTAAGTCCAAACAGTACCTTTGCACAGTGCCATTCAGTGATGGATCCTGAGATGTACTACAAGGTACAGCAAAACCTTTCTATTTCTCTTTCACTGAATTACATTTTGATGAGTGTAATTTTGTAAACGTGTTTGCTCTCATCTGCAGCGATGTACTTATGCTAGCTGTAACTGTGAGAAGAGTGAGGCCTGCCTCTGTGCCGTCTTCTCCTCCTACACAAGAGCTTGTGCATCAAAGGGAGTGTTCCTGACAGACTGGAGACAGAATGTTTGCGGTAAGTATTTATTTCTTTGTTATGTTTTGGTAAAGTTGAGTGATGATTTCTGGAGTTTGATGAAAACATCTTCCCTTTCATCAGTTAGACATAAAACTATGAAGTAATCTACTTCACATTGTGCACAAACAGATAAATACACAAGGAGCTGTCCAGCATCTCAGATCTTCTCTTACAAAAATCAGAGATGCCAGATGACTTGCAGATCGTTGGGCGAAAAGCAACAAAGCTGCACTTCTGACTTCTTGCCTGTGGATGGCTGCTCCTGCCCTGAGGGTCTCTACCTAAATGAAGACGACTTGTGCGTCCCCATGGCAAAATGCCCCTGCTACTATAATGAAGTCTACATCCAGGCAGGAAAGTCCATCAGCATGAAAGATGACCAATGGTGAGTCAGCTGTTTGCACTTTCATTTGACTTCATATCAGTTTTTCTAGACTAAGGTTTTAGCATGATTGTAGTGTGTGTTGTATGTGAGATTAACAGAAACTAAATTGTATTTTTGTGTTGCATCTGATTTCTTTGGGTCTATTTCTAGTATGTGCACCAATGGAATACTTCATTGCCATTCTCTAAGAGTCCGTTCAGCAAGTATGCTTTTTATTTTATTTTTCTATACTGAGGTTTTCAATTTACATATATTGTATCATATTAAATTGGTGTGTCTGTCTTTGTCTATTTTTACAGCATGCCCTTTTCCAAAAGTATTCTTCAACTGCTCCACTGCGGGCGCAGGAGAGCTTGGACTGCAATGTGCTCAAACTTGTTTAAATCTGGACAACAGTGATTGTGTGAGTAATTTTTGCTGCTGTCTAAATTGACATATTATTCTCAAATAACCTGATCTAATGTTATTTCCTGAATTTAATGGTGAACAGGATGTTACGATAAGTGCACGGCCTGATGCGCACGGTGCAATTGTCATTGCACCAGGCGCATGGTTCAAAATGGTTGTACTTAGTCTGTGAATTAGTCATGGGTGTGTCATCTCCCATTTCCTTTAAAAGCCAGGTGCAGTTGCCATTATAATGGCAAAAGAATGGTGTATTATAAAAACATTAATTGATTGATTGCACTTCAGATTCACAGCAGAGGATGGATATGGACAGAAGTGTGGATGTGAAATAAACACTATCTCTGATCATGAAGCGTAATGTTACTCTGCAGCTGGTTTATCAGTGAAGTGTCTGAAATACACTGCACTTTGTCTCCTGTATGAAACATCTGGAGCCTCACTGCCCAGCATTATTATTAACTATGATGAACCGGTCGTGGGTCACATCTCTCTTTTTCAGGTTCTTTATTATGCGTTGTATTAATGTATGAGTGTTTTCTTTAACAATTTACTTTCATGATTTGAGAGGCTGCTGTTTAAACGTTTTCCTGTCTGCAGTGAAGTCACGGCAAATGCTGTGGGGCATTTAAGCAGTGAAACAACAGAACTGCGGTTATAAACTTGACATAACAGGACAGAGGAAACTCTCCATAGGAAATAAGATTCAACTTCTAGCTTCTGAAATAATTTAGATGCTCTGATGGCGCTCACAATTGAACAGGAAGAAGGCTGCTTTACTCCAAACAGTTTCACTGTACGAACCTGGACTGTGTGTGTGACCTTTTGGATGTGTGGAAGAACACAGAACATCAATTAACATTAGATCCTGTCAACGTGACAGGAGATTTTAATAATCAGTGAAGTTACACTGCTGTGCCTTGTACGTAAATCCGCACAGCATCTCTCCTAAAAGCATGTTACTATTGGAATAATGCGCCCCTACTATAAAATCAAAAAACAGTGAAATGATTTGCTATTGACTTTATGATGTTTGGGGGTTTTTTGGTCAATGGCTCAATGGTTTACTGCTACCTCAAGTTAGCAATGCGACAACAATTTACCTGACCACACCTCAATTTAAGATCAACACTCCAATGAGCACACAGATTGGTGCAAATGCATTTGCTTTTTAAACTGTTTCGGTTAGACAGTGTTGCCACCACCCCAACACACCACTGCAAAGAACAGTGAGTTGGTTAGTATAGACTTGTAGTAGCCTGGTGCACACATTGAAGAACTGATACTCCTAAAAGTCTTCTCTGTCCTTTCCTGTAGAAAGCCTCTGTGTTATCCAACCAGTCCACATTGTTGTGTACTCCCAGGAATTTGTAGTAATCCATCACCTCTATTCCTTGCCACTGGATTTTAAAGGGATTTGAGGGCTTCCTGTTCCATCTGAAGTCCATTAACAACTCCTTTGTCTTGCAAAAGTTGAGCTGTAGGTGTTTGTCCTCAGACTGCCTGACAAAGAACTGTAGATGATGGCACTGTCCATGCTGATTTGGGCCTGGTACGCAAACTGCAAGGTATCCAGGGAGTCTTTCAGCAGGAGCTTAGGTGTTTCGTCCATCTTGTTTGCCAGCGATCTCTTGTTCTCCATTACTACCGATGGAAAGCAAGGTTTAAATCTCCACTTTCTTTCCGGCTTCTCCCATGCCTTTACTCCCCCTCTTCTTTCCCTGTTGTCCTCATTGTCATTCCACTGGTATGTCTGTTGGCGGAGCCCTTGCTTGTACCCAATATGAGAAAGAAATAGGGGCAGCATTCTCTGCCTGGTTGTCGTCAAGCTGTGACACATACCGACATATAGCTTAACTAAACTGATTTAAGTCCTAACTGAACAAAAGATACAAAAACAACAGAAAATAGAAACAGCATGTTCTACAACTTCATCATGAACAAGTATTGAAAATAAAATTAAATAAAGTTAGAGCAAGAGCTTTGAGTAGTAGTAGTAGTAATGTTTTCTATCACTGTGATCTTTCCATTTTCCCAGGACTCCACAGAGTGTAAATCTGGCTGTCAGTGTCCAGGTGGCCTTATTGATGATGGAAAAGGCTCCTGTGTAAAAGTCCATCAATGTCCATGTCAGCATTATGGGCATCTTTATGCCCCTGGAACAAAAATCCCTAACCAATGCAACAGCTGGTATGAACTTATTTAATCAGATGTATAATGTAACAGTGTAAACAAATATCATATTTGCCTGCATGTTTTACGTAATTGCATTATTTGTATCACTATTATTTTTTAACAATTTCTGATACATCTAGTACCTGCAAAAGTGGAAACTGGGAGTGCACAGAGAAAAAATGTCCAGGAACTTGCATTATTTATGGGAGTGGTCACTACAAAACATTTGATCAGCGAACATATGAGTTTCAAGGACATTGTGACTATGTTGCTGTTAAGGTAACAAAGCATGTCAAAATCTTCCATATGGCAGGCTGTGCTTGACACCCCTTGTTCACTCTTTCTCTACTCCCTATAATGTACACTTAATATTTTACTCAATCGTGAGCAGTGGTCTGTCTACCAAGAAGCAAACATGCACGTTGTTTAATGAATCTATCTTTTTTAAGAACTGTGGGACTAAAACAGTGCAGGACAACTTTGGTGTTATCACAGAAAATGTACCCTGTGGATCTACAGGCACCACATGCTCCAAAACTGTTCGAATCCAACTTGGGTAAAACCTAATACCAGCACCTGATACGTATTCTCTACCTAAAATCTTGAACATAATTCAGTAAATTATGTCATATGTCAAGCTGCAGTTTTTACAATCACAATGAAAGCAACAAAATCTCTTTAACATTGCAGCGAATGGAAGTCAAACTATCAAAGGGTCACTATAAGGAAGAGGACCTTGGAGATGGCCCTCAGATTCAGTACAAAATAAGGAGGGTTGGGTTGTATCTGGTTATAGAATCTGCCATTGGTCTGACAGTGATGTGGGATCGCAAAACAACTGTTCGCATCCTCCTGGAACCAAAGCACAGTGTGAGTTACAGTCATTGTTGCAGTGATGATGATTGAAATTTCTGTGAAGATGATTGAGTAAGAGTTTTGATATGATGGACCATCTTTTTCTCATCTGTAGTTTATCTGTCTTTGCTGATCATTTTCTTCACTTAAAAAGTTTGGGACAACAACGGCATTGATGTAAAAGATGTACACATTGCTGAAAAGGCCTTGAGAGACTTATTCATAACATTTGTTTCTTGTATTGATATGGAATTTTGTCCTTATTAAAGAGGCCACTGATTCCTTTTGTTCGGCCATACAGGAGAGGTATGTGGTCTGTGTGGAGATTTTGATGGTGATGGACAGAATGACTTCACCACCCAGGGTCAGCTGACAGTGAGCAATGCGTTAGAGTTTGCAAACAGTGGAAAGTTTCAAGCAGCTGCCCAGATCTGAAAATGAATGTTGACCCTTGTGGAGCAAGACCTAATAGACATCACTGGGCAAGAGTTATGTGCAACATTATGATTGAAAAGGATGGTACTTTCAAAGACTGCCACAATAAGGTAATGACATATTTCTTTCCAATTTATGAAGATTTAAAGTTACATGATTGAAAACATTTAACAGATTTTTTTTTATCCATCAAATATTTTGATAACCAAACAGGTAGATCCCCATCCATTTTATGAAAACTGTGTGACAGACTCATGTGCCTGCGACTCTGGAGGAGACTGTGAGTGTTTCTGCACAGCAGTTGCAGCTTATGCTCAAGCTTGTAATGAGGCTGGTGTCTGTGTTGCATGGAGAACTCCAGAAATCTGTCGTAAGTATCTATCTCTCTTTATATATATCTATATCTATCTATCTCTATCTCTATATCTTTATCTATCTATCTATCTATCTATCTCTATCTCTATCTCTATCTCTATATCTATATCTCTATCTATATACAGTGGGTACGGAAAGTATTCAGACCCCTTTAAATTTTCACTCTTTATTTCATTGCAGCCATTTTCCAAAAATCAAAAAAGTTCATTTTATTTCTCAGTAATGTACACTCAGCACCCCATCTTGACAGAAAAAAACAGAAATGTAGAAATTTTTGCAAATTTATTAAAAAAGAAAAACTGAAATATCACATGGTCATAAGTATTCAGACCCTTTGCCGTGACACTCATATTTAACTCAGGTGCTGTCTATTTCTTCTGATCATCCTTGAGATGGTTCTACACCTTCATTTGAGTCCAGCTGTGTTTGATTATACTGATTGGACTTGATTAGGAAAGCCACACACCTGTCTATATAAGACCTTACAGCTCACAGTGCATGTCAGAGCAAATGAGAATCATGAGGTCAAAGGAACTGCCTGAAGAGCTCAGAGACAGAATTGTGGCAAGGCACAGATCTGGCCAAGGTTACAAAAAAATTTCTGCTGCACTTAAGGTTCCTAAGAGCACAGTGGCCTCCATAATCCTCAAATGGAAGACGTTTGGGACGACCAGAACCCTTCCTAGAGCTGGCCGTCCGGCCAAACTGAGCTATCGGGGGAGAAGAGCCTTGGTGAGAGAGGTAAAGAAGAACCCAAAGGTCACTGTGGCTGAGCTCCAGAGATGCAGTCGGGAGATGGGAGAAAGTTGTAGTAAGTCAACCATCACTGCAGCAATCCACCAGTCGGGGCTTTATGGCAGAGTGGCCCGACAGAAGCCTCTCCTCAGTGCAAGACACATGAAAGCCCGCATGGAGTTTGCTAAAAAACACCTGAAGGACTCCAAGATGGTGATAAATAAGATCCTCTGGTCTGATGAGACCAAGATAGAACTTTTTGGCCTTAATTCTAAGCGGTATGTGTGGAGAAAACCAGGCACTGCTCATCACCTGTCCAATACAGTCTCAACAGTGAAGCATGGTGGTGGCAGCATCATGCTGTGGGGGTGTTTTTCAGCTGCAGGGACAGGATGACTGGTTGCAATTGAGGGAAAGATGAATGCGGCCAAGTACAGGGATATCCTGGACGAAAACCTTTTCTGCTCTGGACCTCAGACTGGGCCGAAGGTTTCCCTTCCAAAAAGACAATGACCCTAAGCACACCGCTAAAATAACGAAGTAGTGGCTTCACAACAACTCCGTGGCTGTTCTTGAATGGCCCAGCCAGAGCCCTGACTTAAACCCAATTGAGCATCTCTGGAGAGACCTGAAAATGGCTGTCCACTAACGTTTACCATCCAACCTGACAGAACTGGAGAGGATCTGCAAGGAGGAATGTCAGAGGATACCCAAATCCAGATGTGAAAAACTTGTTGCATCTTTCCCAAAACGACTCATGGCTGTATTAGATCAAAAGGGTGCTTCTACTAAATACTGAGCAAAGGGTCTGAATACTTATGACCATGTGATATTTCAGTTTTTCTTTTTTAATAAATTTGCAATAAATTTTCTGTCAAGATGGGGTGCTGAGTGTACATTACTGAGAAATAAAATGAACTTTTTTGATTTTTGGAAAATGGCTGCAATGAAACAAAGAGTGAAAAATTTAAAGGGGTCTGAATACTTTCCGTACCCACTGTAAATCTGTTCTTTCATTACAAAAATGACATCTACTATTCTGCTCTGTGTATTTTTTATTATATATTTAATATGTGAATGGACACTAAATCTAATTAAAGCTGACATATATAACAGAGACTTTATGGGCAATGCATTCTTGGTTAAAAGTATCTTTTTAAACAATGCAATGATATGTCTAGTTAAATATAACTGAATAGGTTATTTTTATTTTAATCATCATCTTTTATTGTTTTTGGCCATTTGTGATAACGATGTGCATCCTCAGGCCTAAAATAAATATAATGGAAGAATAAACCAGGTGGAGTTTGAAGTTTGAGTTCTCAGTGACAGAGATGAATCTACTGTTTTAAATCAACATTTCCTTTATTTAAAACATAACATCCATTGTGTCTTTTCTTTTAGCTGTCTTTTGTGACTACTACAACAGCCCAGGTGAATGCAAATGGCACTACAACCCTTGCCACACACCTGCTACAAGACCTGCTTGAATCCACAAGGAATTTGTAGCAACCCTTTACCCCACCTGGAAGGTAAGAGGTTAACTCACAATGTCTCACCTTACCTCTCATTCATGAGCTTGTTAAAATAGTAAATGTTGAAGTGATTCTATTTAACTTTGAAGAAATTAAGAAAATAGATTCTGGAAAAGAGTACCTGGCAAGCTTCAGCTTCTGTGATTTTTGCAGGCTGTTACCCTGTATGCCCAGAAGATAAGCCCATATTTAATGAGGAGACCCAGATGTGTGTGGAGGAATGTCCAGGTTGCTTTTACAATGGTACTAACGAAATCTGCACACCTGCACCTCCAACTACAACCCCAGTGCCAACTACAACCACACAAACTACAACTGAATCTCAAACTACAACCACAGTGCCAACTACAACCACAAAAGGTCCAACGGAACCTCCCACTACAACACCAGTGCCAACTACAACCACAGAAGGTCCAACTGAACCTCCAACTACAACACCAGGGCCAACTACAACCACAAAAGTTCCAACTGTACCTCCAACCACAACACCAGGGCCAACTACAACCACACAAACTACAACTGAAACTACAACTACAACCCCAATGCCAACTACAACCACAGAAGCTAAAACTCCTACCACTACTCCGTGTATTACAACCTGTGAGTGGTCAGACTGGTATGATGTGCATAACCCTCAAAAGGACAACAGTGACTGGGAAACATACAAGAACATCACAGATAGTGGTCTACAAATATGCAGAAAACCCAGAGAAATTGATTGTAGAGCAACAATTTCTCCTAACAAAGACTTCAATGACTTTGTGAGTGAAACTGGCCAAGTTGTTACCTGTGATGTTGGATATGGTCTGATATGTCGAAAAGAGGATCAGGTCAGACCTCCACGGAAATGCTTCAACTATAAGATCAGAGTATGTTGTGAGGTAGAGATATGTATTACTACAACCCCAGTGCCAACTACAACCACAGTGCCAACTACAACCACACAATCTACACTGAACCTCCAACTACAACACCAGGGCCAACTACAACCACACAAACTACAACTGAACCTCCAACTACAACCACAGTGCCAACTACAACCACAAAAGGTCCAACGGAACCTCCCACTACAACACCAGGGCCAACTACAACCACACAAACTACAATCACAGTGCCAACTACAACCACAGAAGCTACAACTGAACCTCCAACTACAACACCAGTGCCAACTACAACCACACAAACAACAACTGAACCTCCCACTACAACACCAGGGCCAACTACAACCACACAACCTCCCACAACAACCCCAGTGCCAACTACAACCACAGAAGCTAAAACTCCTACCACTACTCGTGTATTACAACCTGTGAGTGGTCAGACTGGTATGATGTGCATAACCCTCAAAAGGACAACAGTGACTGGGAAACATACAAGAACATCACAGATAGTGGTCTACAAATATGCAGAAAACCCAGAGAAATTGATTGTAGAGCAACAATTTCTCCTAACAAAGACTTCAATGACTTTGTGAGTGAAACTGGCCAAGTTGTTACCTGTGATGTTGGATATGGTCTGATATGTCGAAAAGAGGATCAGGTCAGACCTCCACGGAAATGCTTCAACTATAAGATCAGAGTATGTTGTGAGGTAGAGATATGTATTATTACAACCCCAGTGCCAACTACAACCACACAATCTACAACTGAACCTCCAACTACAACACCAGGGCCAACTACAACCACACAAACTACAACCACAGTGCCAACTACAACCACAGAAGCTACAACTGAACCTCCAACTACAACACCAGTGCCAACTACAACCACACAAACAACAACTGAACCTCCCACTACAACACCAGGGCCAACTACAACCACACAAACTACAATCACAGTGCCAACTACAACCACAGAAGCTACAACTGAACCTCCAACTACAACACCAGTGCCAACTACAACCACAGAAGCTACAACTGAACCTCCCACTACAACCACAGTGCCAACTACAACCACAAAAGTTCCAACTGAACCTCCAACTACAACACCAGGGCCAACTACAACCACAAAAGTTCCAATTGTACCTCCAACTACAACACCAGGGCCAACTACAACCACAACAGGTCCAACTGAACCTCCAACCACAACACCAGGGCCAACTACAACCACACAAACTACAACTGAACCTCCAACTACAACCCCAGTGCCAACTACAACCACACAAACTACAACTGAACCTCCCACAACAACCCCAGTGCCAACTACAACCACAGAAGCTAAAACTCCTACCACTACTCCGTGTATTACAACCTGTGAGTGGTCAGACTGGTATGATGTGCATAACCCTCAAAAGGACAACAGTGACTGGGAAACATACAAGAACATCACAGATAGTGGTCTACAAATATGCAGAAAACCCAGAGAAATTGATTGTAGAGCAACAATTTCTCCTAACAAAGACTTCAATGACTTTGTGAGTGAAACTGGCCAAGTTGTTACCTGTGATGTTGGATATGGTCTGATATGTCAAAAAGAGGATCAGGTCAGACCTCCACGGAAATGCTTCAACTATAAGATCAGAGTATGTTGTGAGGTAGAGATATGTATTATTACAACCCCAGTGCCAACTACAACCACACAATCTACAACTGAACCTCCAACTACAACACCAGGGCCAACTACAACCACACAAACTACAACCACAGTGCCAACTACAACCACAGAAGCTACAACTGAACCTCCAACTACAACACCAGTGCCAACTACAACCACACAAACAACAACTGAACCTCCCACTACAACACCAGGGCCAACTACAACCACACAAACTACAATCACAGTGCCAACTACAACCACAGAAGCTACAACTGAACCTCCAACTACAACACCAGTGCCAACTACAACCACAGAAGCTACAACTGAACCTCCCACTACAACCACAGTGCCAACTACAACCACAAAAGTTCCAACTGAACCTCCAACTACAACACCAGGGCCAACTACAACCACAAAAGTTCCAATTGTACCTCCAACTACAACACCAGGGCCAACTACAACCACAACAGGTCCAACTGAACCTCCAACCACAACACCAGGGCCAACTACAACCACACAAACTACAACTGAACCTCCAACTACAACCCCAGTGCCAACTACAACCACACAAACTACAACTGAACCTCCCACAACAACCCCAGTGCCAACTACAACCACAGAAGCTAAAACTCCTACCACTACTCCGTGTATTACAACCTGTGAGTGGTCAGACTGGTATGATGTGCATAACCCTCAAAAGGACAACAGTGACTGGGAAACATACAAGAACATCACAGATAGTGGTCTACAAATATGCAGAAAACCCAGAGAAATTGATTGTAGAGCAACAATTTCTCCTAACAAAGACTTCAATGACTTTGTGAGTGAAACTGGCCAAGTTGTTACCTGTGATGTTGGATATGGTCTGATATGTCAAAAAGAGGATCAGGTCAGACCTCCACGGAAATGCTTCAACTATAAGATCAGAGTATGTTGTGAGGTAGAGATATGTATTATTACAACCCCAGTGCCAACTACAACCACACAATCTACAACTGAACCTCCAACTACAACACCAGGGCCAACTACAACCACACAAACTACAACCACAGTGCCAACTACAACCACAGAAGCTACAACTGAACCTCCAACTACAACACCAGTGCCAACTACAACCACACAAACAACAACTGAACCTCCCACTACAACACCAGGGCCAACTACAACCACACAAACTACAATCACCGTGCCAACTACAACCACAGAAGCTACAACTGAACCTCCAACTACAACACCAGTGCCAACTACAACCACACAAACAACAACTGAACCTCCCACTACAACACCAGGGCCAACTACAACCACACAACCTCCAACCACAACACCAGGGCCAACTACAACCACACAAACTACAACTGAACCTCCCACAACAACCCCAGTGCCAACTACAACCACAGAAGCTAAAACTCCTACCACTACTCCGTGTATTACAACCTGTGAGTGGTCAGACTGGTATGATGTGCATAACCCTCAAAAGGACAACAGTGACTGGGAAACATACAAGAACATCACAGATAGTGGTCTACAAATATGCAGAAAACCCAGAGAAATTGATTGTAGAGCAACAATTTCTCCTCACAAAGACTTCAATGACTTTGTGAGTGAAACTGGCCAAGTTGTTACCTGTGATGTTGGATATGGTCTGATATGTCGAAAAGAGGATCAGGTCAGACCTCCACGGAAATGCTTCAACTATAAGATCAGAGTATGTTGTGAGGTAGAGATATGTATTATTACAACCCCAGTGCCAACTACAACCACACAATCTACAACTGAACCTCCAACTACAACACCAGGGCCAACTACAACCACACAAACTACAACCACAGTGCCAACTACAACCAACAAACAACAACTGAACCTCCCACTACAACACCAGGGCCAACTACAACCACACAAACTACAATCACAGTGCCAACTACAACCACAGAAGCTACAACTGAACCTCCAACTACAACACCAGTGCCAACTACAACCACAGAAGCTACAACTGAACCTCCCACTACAACCACAGTGCCAACTACAACCACAAAAGTTCCAACTGAACCTCCAACTACAACACCAGGGCCAACTACAACCACAAAAGTTCCAATTGTACCTCCAACTACAACACCAGGGCCAACTACAACCACAACAGGTCCAACTGAACCTCCAACCACAACACCAGGGCCAACTACAACCACAAAAGTTCCAATTGTACCTCCAACTACAACACCAGGGCCAACTACAACCACAACAGGTCCAACTGAACCTCCAACCACAACACCAGGGCCAACTACAACCACACAAACTACAACTGAACCTCCAACTACAACCCCAGTGCCAACTACAACCACACAAACTACAACTGAACCTCCCACAACAACCCCAGTGCCAACTACAACCACAGAAGCTAAAACTCCTACCACTACTCCGTGTATTACAACCTGTGAGTGGTCAGACTGGTATGATGTGCATAACCCTCAAAAGGACAACAGTGACTGGGAAACATACAAGAACATCACAGATAGTGGTCTACAAATATGCAGAAAACCCAGAGAAATTGATTGTAGAGCAACAATTTCTCCTAACAAAGACTTCAATGACTTTGTGAGTGAAACTGGCCAAGTTGTTACCTGTGATGTTGGATATGGTCTGATATGTCAAAAAGAGGATCAGGTCAGACCTCCACGGAAATGCTTCAACTATAAGATCAGAGTATGTTGTGAGGTAGAGATATGTATTATTACAACCCCAGTGCCAACTACAACCACACAATCTACAACTGAACCTCCAACTACAACACCAGGGCCAACTACAACCACACAAACTACAACCACAGTGCCAACTACAACCACAGAAGCTACAACTGAACCTCCAACTACAACACCAGTGCCAACTACAACCACACAAACAACAACTGAACCTCCCACTACAACACCAGGGCCAACTACAACCACACAAACTACAATCACAGTGCCAACTACAACCACAGAAGCTACAACTGAACCTCCAACTACAACACCAGTGCCAACTACAACCACACAAACAATAACTGAACCTCCCACTACAACACCAGGGCCAACTACAACCACACAACCTCCAACCACAACCCCAGTGCCAACTACAACCACACAAACTACAACTGAACCTCCCACAACAACCCCAGTGCCAACTACAACCACAGAAGCTAAAACTCCTACCACTACTCCGTGTATTACAACCTGTGAGTGGTCAGACTGGTATGATGTGCATAACCCTCAAAAGGACAACAGTGACTGGGAAACATACAAGAACATCACAGATAGTGGTCTACAAATATGCAGAAAACCCAGAGAAATTGATTGTAGAGCAACAATTTCTCCTCACAAAGACTTCAATGACTTTGTGAGTGAAACTGGCCAAGTTGTTACCTGTGATGTTGGATATGGTCTGATATGTCGAAAAGAGGATCAGGTCAGACCTCCACGGAAATGCTTCAACTATAAGATCAGAGTATGTTGTGAGGTAGAGATATGTATTATTACAACCCCAGTGCCAACTACAACCACACAATCTACAACTGAACCTCCAACTACAACACCAGGGCCAACTACAACCACACAAACTACAACTGAACCTCCAACTACAACCACAGTGCCAACTACAACCACAAAAGGTCCAACGGAACCTCCCACTACAACACCAGTGCCAACTACAACCACAAAAGGTCCAAATGAACCTCCAACTACAACACCAGGGCCAACTACAACCACAGAAGCTACAACTGAACCTCCAACTACAACACCAGTGCCAACTACAACCACACAATCTACAACTGAACCTCCCACTACAACACCAGGGCCAACTACAACCACACAAACTACAATCACAGTGCCAACTACAACCACAGAAGCTACAACTGAACCTCCAACTACAACACCAGTGCCAACTACAACCACAGAAGCTACAACTGAACCTCCCACTACAACCACAGTGCCAACTACAACCACAAAAGTTCCAACTGAACCTCCAACTACAACACCAGGGCCAACTACAACCACAAAAGTTCCAATTGTACCTCCAACTACAACACCAGGGCCAACTACAACCACAACAGGTCCAACTGAACCTCCAACCACAACACCAGGGCCAACTACAACCACACAAACTACAACTGAACCTCCAACTACAACCCCAGTGCCAACTACAACCACACAAACTACAACTGAACCTCCCACAACAACCCCAGTGCCAACTACAACCACAGAAGCTAAAACTCCTACCACTACTCCGTGTATTACAACCTGTGAGTGGTCAGACTGGTATGATGTGCATAACCCTCAAAAGGACAACAGTGACTGGGAAACATACAAGAACATCACAGATAGTGGTCTACAAATATGCAGAAAACCCAGAGAAATTGATTGTAGAGCAACAATTTCTCCTAACAAAGACTTCAATGACTTTGTGAGTGAAACTGGCCAAGTTGTTACCTGTGATGTTGGATATGGTCTGATATGTCGAAAAGAGGATCAGGTCAGACCTCCACGGAAATGCTTCAACTATAAGATTAGAGTATGTTGTGAGGTAGAGATATGTATTATTACAACCCCAGTGCCAGCTACAACCCCAGTGCCAACTACAACCACACAATCTACAACTGAACCTCCAACTACAACACCAGGGCCAACTACAACCACACAAACTACAACTGAACCTCCAACTACAACCACAGTGCCAACTACAACCACAAAAGGTCCAACGGAACCTCCCACTACAACACCAGTGCCAACTACAACCACACAAACAACAACTGAACCTCCCACTACAACCACAGTGCCAACTACAACCACAGAAGCTACAACTGAACCTCCAACTACAACACCAGTGCCAACTACAACCACACAAACAACAACTGAACCTCCCACTACAACACCAGGGCCAACTACAACCACACAAACTACAACCACAGTGCCAACTACAACCACAGAAGCTACAACTGAACCTCCCACTACAACCACAGTGCCAACTACAACCACAAAAGGTCCAACTGAACCTCCAACTACAACACCAGGGCCAACTACAACCACACAAACTACAACCACAGTGCCAACTATAACCACAGAAGCTACAACTGAACCTCCCACTACAACCACAGTGCCAACTACAACCACAAAAGGTCCAACTGAACCTCCAACTACAACACAAGGGCAAACTACAACTACAACTACATCTGCATCTACCCCAACCACTACTCCTTCGCCCAATTGCCCTAACTGGAATAAAGTGGTAAGACACTGACATATCAGGCACATACAATACATACAAACATATGTTTGAACTGGGTCAATCTCAGCTGGTACTCTGTGCAGTTAAAAATCGACCTCCTAAAAACAAGGACTTCATCTGTTACTTTTCTTTTTTCCTGTCTGAAATCATGCCGAAATATGATTGGATTTAATCGAAGGAGATATAATTATCCATGTATGTTGTCCGACAAATCCGCTACCAATTGATTTTTTAAATTTTATCGATCCTTTGAACCGCACACAGTTTGTATCTGATCCGACACAGGTGTACCATCATATATGGGGTGGCTGTGGCTCAGGAGGTAGCGCGGGTTGGCCATTAATCGGAAGGTTGGAGGTTCAATCCCTGGCTCCCCCTGGTTGCATGTCAAAGTGTCCTTGGGCACGATACTGAACCCCGAATTATTCCGCCAGTGTATGAGTGAGTGTGAAAGTTAAGGTGAATGCAGATGTAGTGTAAAAGCGCTTTGAGTGGTCGAAAAGACTAGAAAGGCGCTATACAAGTACAGAGCATTTACATATATTACACCTTGTTTTGTTATGCTGTGAGGCTATTTTTAACGTAGAAATGTACAATGTCTCTGATCATGCGCCTTTTTATTTGACGTTTCACTTCCCTGTCATCAAGCAATGCACTCTACCTCTTATCTGCAGGATGATTTGTAAAATCTTTTTATATTTGGTTCATAGGAGTCAGAAGTCAGAGGAATGCAATCATCTCATTGTACACTTTATTTAGTTTTTGCTTAATGATGCTGTTTTGACTAACAATAGTGCATTGATTATTTACCTCTCCTCCACTATGTAGGGCAAGAGCCTGCAAGACTTAAAATCAGGCAAAAACATAAAATAAAAAGTGTTGTCAAGCTAATGTGATAATGTGGGAAAGTGCTATTTATAGCATTTTGAGACCTTACAGCCTCTTGGACTCAATCGCTTAGGTGACGTCAGTTAAGTCTGTGTTGTAGTACTCAAGACCGGTCTTAAGACCACTTTTTGATGGTCTTGGTCTCATTTCGGACTCAACCACATTTGTACTCGGTCTTGTCTCAGTCTCGGACTTTGAGGACTCAGAATTTTATTTCAACACCAGTCAAGACCATAACTTTGGGAATATCAATAAATAGTTTTTGCATTGTCTGATCTATTTGTTAACATCCTTACTTTGATTGGATGTAAAATGTATTGCTTCAAATGCAATCAATAACTAATTAGTTTAGTTATTGGGTGCTAATTAAAAATGTTCTGTTCCCGTAAACGACTTTGACCCCCACCCGCGATAGTAAGCATGGAAAGGAGTGTTGAATAAAGATGCTTATGTTGAATTATGTTATTCTTAATGTTTGGATGTGGGGGTTTTAATGAGAATGTGGATCTTTCAGATCAATTTGAGAAGTAACTATGATCTCGTTCCACATTTTAGAGTTGTAATGTGGGGAACTGTTCTTGGTCTTGACTCGGTCTCACCCTCCCTCAGTCTTGGTCTCGACTTGGTTTTGGTCTGGGCGGTCTTGACTACAACGCTAGCCACCAGCCTTCCAGTTTTTAAATCACAACCAAAAACGTACCTTTGCTCCTTGGCTTTTAACCCAGTTTGGGAGTTGTATGTTGCTATTTTGTATGTTGTCATATTTGTTTATTGTTTTATTATTGATTAATTTATTTGTTCATTTCAACGTGCAGCACTTTGGTCAACCTGGTTGTTTTTAAATGTGCTTTATAAATAATGTTGGATTGGATAGGATTGGATGAGCTGTCATAAATATAACAGGTAGTATTTTGTGCAAAAAAACGTATCTCCCATTTTTCTTTTTACATCAGCAAAATGAGACATTTCATCTTTACAACTGTATCATGGCCAGATGCATTGAGAACAACAGGATTGACACATTTTCTCTTGAGTGTCCACCCATGGAGAAGATCACTTGTACCAATGGAAATAAACCAGTTCTTGTGTACGATGAGTACCACTGCTGCCAACATTATGCTTGTGACTGTAAGTGTTTTTGTATTTAAAAGAATGCTTCACAACGTATAATCACTGACTTGTAGAACTTACAGCTTTTTGTTTGTGTACAGGTGTATGTGAAGGCTGGGGAGATCCTCATTACATCACATTTGATGGACTTTACTACACTTATCAAGGAAACTGTACTTATGTCTTGATGGAAGAGATTTCACCAAAATATAACTTGAAGATTTATATTGACAATGTCTTTTGTGCTCTCACTGACAATGTTTCTTGTCCTCGATCTATAATTGTATTTTATGGATCACATTTTTTCAAACTGAAGAATCATAACGTCATTGGAGCACCAAAGTTGGAGGTAAAACAAGACTGTGTGAAATCCTCATCATCATCAAATATATTTTTTTAAATGCACGCCATAAACTAGAGTAGATTATTACTGTCAATGTATAGGCCACATTTCCATGGAATAATTGTAATATAGACAGGTTGTTTTAAAATATTATATTGATATATTGTATATTTATATTTTCCCTGTAGGTGCTCAAAGATGACGCACCTCTGAAACTACCTTATTCACTAGAACATGTTGAAATCTCAAATTCTGGCATTAACCTGGTGTTGGAGATCCCTGACATAAAAGTGGTAATTCGTTTTGGAATAACTGGCTTTAGTGTTGCCCTTCCCTTTAAATTTTTTGGCAGAAACACACAGGGACATTGTGGTAAGAACATCTCTCTTCACAGTTGCCCTATTAAATCATTTTCTTGTGTTTACACTCCAATATTAACTGTGTTGTGATTCTACTGTCAGGAACATGCAATAACAACCAGGCTGATGACTGCATGTTACCTGGAGGCAGGCTGGAGAAAAGTTGTGCCTTGATGGCCGACCATTGGGTTGCAATAAACATTTCTCAACCTAACTGCCCACCTGTATCGCCACGTCCGCCACCCGGTCCATGCCTGAGCAATCCAAACTCTATGTGTGAACTGCTGAAGAGCAGGTAGAGGTTCTCTAATCGATTGTAGTAGTTCACATTTAACCCCATAACTTTATTAAAAGCAAGTAAAATACATTAATTGATAATTTTGGAAGTTTTGTGTTTTGAACCTCAACTAAATTTAAGATATTTGTTTTATGTTCATTTTTTCACAGTGTCTTTGCAGAGTGCCATAGCTTTGTCTCTCCTGACAATTTCTACCAAGGTTGTGTTTTTGATAGCTGCTATGTTTCCAATCCAAATGTGGAGTGCTCAAGTTTGCAGACTTATGCTGCTGCCTGTGCTCAGGCTGGGGTTTGCATTCATTGGAGGAATCACACCACACTGTGTGGTAAGCAACCTGTCATTATTTTAAGTTAAATAATTTTTCCTTTTAGTATTGGAAAGGTTACTACTTACATTTTGTCATATACAGTTTGTAAGCGGTATGTAAAGGGATTCTAACAACTATGTTGAGATATTTTCTTTGCTAATAGCCATTGCCTGCCCATCAAGCAAAGTTTACAAGCCATGTGGTCCTGAAGAACAGCGAACCTGTGAAGACAAGTAAGTTTTAATGAAAAGGAAGCCTATTAAGTTTTTTTGTGTTCTTATCATACATACATATCATACTAGATAATAGTAATTATTGAAGAACACAGTGTATTAGTTTAGTTTATGCCATATTTTAACAGTTTTCTTTGCTGGACCTGGGGTCTCATTTATAAAACTGTGAATAGAATCCTCACAAAAATGTACATGCGCCCAAAAACCAAAAATGGCATATGCCAAAAAATATTCAGACTTATAAAACCGTGCGTAACACTTGTAAGCAAGTTACCTTTATAAATCACAATCAACTTGAAATTTGCCGCATGTGAAGGAGCGCCATGTCCGACCCTTCAAACGCCCATAGTTGCCAATAAATGGTCAGTGAAACGCCCCTCATTAATATTAATAGGTCTTGAACAGGGCCGTTTCCAGGCTCTTGAAACATTGGGGGCTTAGCCCAGCACAGAAATCTTTCATGTTTCAACCCCCCCACCCCCCATTGCCGCCTACCCAAAGTACTTCTATAAAGCAACAGTAAATTATATATGTATATATGTATAGCCTACATTTATTATGAACTTTATAATTACTACTGATAATAATTAACACAGATAATATTAAATTGGGGGATCTGGGGGTCCTCCCCCTGAAAGATTTGGGCTTTAACACTGAATTTTCTGCACTGTGATTTCTTTGCACCAATTTATTGAGGAAATGTCTGAGGTGACAATTAAAAATAAGAAGAATATACTGTAATATAATGCAGGAAGGCTGTCAGGCATTCTGTATTGCTGTCAGATATGTTTCTCCTGTAGATCAATCTTTCTGATACAGTTTAATCCCAGCTGAGTCTATATTCATGCAGGCATACCCGAAGTACCCAAAAGTCTTCTTAAATGTGCATATGGCACCTTTTCACCTCAATGCTAAATTAGCTTAATTAACGAAAGATTTTGAGCATTAAACACTTAATTTCCTGAATTCTGGAGACATTTTCTGCACCAATTTATGATGGAAATGTCTTTATTTTATAAAGGACAAGGACAAAATTTAGGTGGCAGGTGATAATTCAGAATATAAAAATATAGTACAATGTAATGCAGTAATCAGTAGCTTGTTTGTTTTTTAGATTATATACTATATATCGGTTGTTTTCGCGCGTTTGGCTAATTGTTATTTTTTTGGCCCACAACACAAGAAACAGCTGAGCAGGGGGGGTGTTGTAAGAGATGTGATTGGGCCTGCCCAGTTTAGGCCTATGCTTTATGGGTCAATCCTTGGCCCATTTTTTAAAAAACAGTTAGGCCCTTATAAATAAATAATTTGACTTGTAGCCTACTAAATGAGACAAAAGCACTGCTCTTCATCAGAGGAAGAAAACCGAAACTGAAAACAGTTGCGATCAGACAGAAATATCAAAACGATTTCACTCTAATGTTCCCTTCAGCAATTCTGAAAAAGTGCAGATCACGTCGCTTTAGAGGGAATGAAGCATCCTGGAGCAGAGAGACAGTCAAACAGAGCAAAGTGTCTCTGAGCGAGTGGGACAGAGACAGCAGGACACAGAGCGACAGGTGTTGGTGTCGCGGTCAGGTGTGTCAAGAAAAGAGAGTAAACCAAATGCATTCCACCTGTGTTTAAACATTTATTTAGGCTATACAAACACTCCACTCACTTAACGAAATAGCCTGTGACTTGTTGTAAATGACAATAAAATAGCCTAGTGTTATTTTTCCATAATGTGTTTTTACAAGCAGCGCATCACATCCACACGCTGGCGCACATCGTTTGGCTCGATAAGGAAACGAACATGTGATAAGAATACATGAAACTTATTTATGAGAATAAATTTCAATGCATGCAAGTAGGCCTATTAATTAATATGATTCCTGATTAAACTGTCCAACATATTTGAGGTGTTCTTTTGCAGAAACAAATATCTCCGTTTGTGTTTATTATCCTCAGTCATGGTTTTTGTTTTGCGTCACAAATTATCCCACTTCAGGGAAAATCAATCAAAGGAGTGTATGATTATTTGGAAAGGCTTTAAGCCTATACTACTCAGAGGTAATATTTCGATATATTTTACACAGTAGTAGGCCAATTCATTCCAAACTGTTTCATCCTTCGGCCACGTGAGTCGCCGTTTCTCATTTCTCCTCTATATGTGCTTAGGCATGGTTCAGAGTTTACTTATGGGATGCACATTTTCCCTCAAGTTTGTTTTTTATAGATCACAACCTTTGCTTGGGAAGTGGCTTAGACAAGCTTCCAGCCCTGTTTTGTACTGTTTATAAATGAGACCCCTGGCCTTTATCTGTCAGGTTTAAAAACTTCAGGACAATCTCAGAATTACCCTTAAAACACATCAATCACACAACTTGAAACTTGAAGCAGCTCTTCTAAAGTGAACTAAGCACTTAATAATGACTCTGTATTGATGATGTTTGACACAAGTGCTGCTTTAAACACTATTGATCATGCTATCCTACTGAACGAGCTAAAATAGTGGGTGAGTATTTCCATAATAGTTCTGGACTGATTCTCTTTATATCTGTCAAACCGAAAATTGTATCTTTCAATTAATGTATTCACTGCTCCTACTGTACAGATAACATGCTGTATACCTCAAAGATTAGTTATGGAACTTGCATTTTGTTTTCACAATGTATGCAGCAATTAGGTCATGTTATGCAGACACCAATTTAATTCTGTCAAAAACTAGTTTGGAACCCAGAAGCAGACTGGAAACAGACCAGGGGCGGTTAATGTAATTTATTACAAATGCAGTCTTAGAAAATGGTAGCAGGCAGATAAGTGGAGGCAGGCAAAAAAGCAAGGCAGGCCAGAGTGTAGCTGGTAAGTCAGGCTTGAATCTAGTAAGGGCAATGTAGATTGAACAGGCTGGCAGGTCAGTGTGAATGGTTGTTGTCCAGAGGTGATACAAGTTAGGATGGCAGCCAGGTAGCAAAGGTTTCAGCCAAAAATACAATTTGCAACGTTCAGAGCTAGAGCACACACTCTTGGTGTTGCTTTTAAACTTATAGATGTTTTATGTTATTATGTTATGTTTTTTTGCTGTTGTTTTCACATGTGTGATTTATGCTGTCCACTGCAATGGATGTTCACATATTATTGTTATTGTTATGAATTAACTGTTTTTGAGATGTGAAAGGAGAAACATTAATGTTCTTTCTTGATGACTACATATTCCAGTCCTGACAAACTCACCAAGAACTTCACTACTGAGGGTTGCTTTTGTCCTGATGGAATGACACTATTCAGCAAATACTCTGACAAATGTGTTGAAAATTGTGGTAAGTGTAGTGTGTTTAAGTTCAGATCAATCTACAGAGTATAGAATAAGTTGGTAGAGAATAACTTATAGAATTGGTGGTTACAGCCTTGGTTCCTCTTGCATACACGCTGAAGTGTCCTTGAGCAAGACTCCAAATTGCGTGGTGTATAGGGGGGGAATGAATCACTTTGAACAAAAGCTTCAGACAAATGACTGCTACTGCAAACTACTCCTCCCCTTCTGTTACGGTTTGGTGTGGGTGAGGCAGGGTTGAGCTGGTTGGAGGACCCAAATGCAGGACGCAAGGCAGAGGAGGAGCGGTGAACCGAGGTGATTTATTAGAACAAACAGAAGGCGAGCACCCTTACTGACTGAGTGGCTGATAGAGTCCAAAACAAAGGTAGTTCCTAACAGAAATCCAAAATCCAGAGGGACAGGGTGACAAGACAAGCAAGGCTGGTTACAGGAAGATAGAGAGTATACACACGACAGACTGGGGGGTAACATGAACAATGACCAGACAAGGGCTGAACAGAAAGACCACACATATATACCAGGGATAACGAGCAGGGCGGGAGCAACACAGGTGACAGACATGAGGCTAACGAGGCAGGCAGAGAGAGAGCAGAGGGGAGAACAGAGAGACAGTCAGGCAGAGGGATACTGGAGGGAATAGACATGACACAAGTTACTGAACACATAACAGATCAGAGAAATAAATATAAATGAATAAAGACACAAGCAGACACATCCCCACTGAACTAACACCAACAAGGAAAACAGACCGAAGCGAAGTAAAACACTGAACTGGAAACTAAGGCATCAAGAAGACAGACATGAGTGACAGACAGAGACGGACATGAGTGAACCCCAAAACACAACAGACTATATAACTGATACTGGACACAGGACAGAACCCAAAAAACTAAGACATAAACCGAGACACAGAACGAGGAGCTAAGACACAGAATACAGAGCAGACTAAACTAAAATAATGCAGACGAGGAACAAGAAGTAAATACTAAAACATAACCGAGGCACAGGACTGGAACTACAACTCATAACACCTTCTGTCTATCTTATTGATGTAATATAATGCAGCAGCCATTACTATGGTGGGATCTAATTTTTAAACCCACATAATAGTGCTATTGTTAACCGTTCTGCTTTTTGCACACCTTCTGTAAAATATCCTACACATTAAAACATGATCTAGACCTCTAAAAAGACTTTTCAACACAATTTCACATTTGCGTGTGTTTGCACTGGCCTGTGCTGTTGTCAGCAGCTCCAACAAATAATTTACTCCATGAAGTTATTTTCATCTTCATTTTCATCCAACCAAACTCTCTGCATGCTTATGTTTTCTTGCCACAAACAAGAGAATGTTTTCAGATTTTCATTAAATTGTTTATTCTGTCTGATTAAATATAAAACATCATTGCATATTTGATTTAATAACCTTTAAACAAAGTCAGCACTTAAACATCAATTCTGTGGGTCTGTCAAGAGTTGTGTGTTGTTGGTGTTTTTTCTCTCAGAAAATGAGCCTTCATCATAACCAATTTTGGTATTGCATATAAAAAATACCCACTTACACAGACTACATTCATCAATCTGATGGCGTGATAACCAACTGTTATCAGTCAGTGAAAATCTTCACTTTGACGAGGCCACTGAAGTTATGGTGGCTTTTGTAAAGCGAGTGTACCACATCAATCAGCCAGCAGATTGGTCAACATAATGTCAGTCATAAAGCCCTGAATTGCTAATAACTGTGTTCCAACAGGATGTCTTGATCCTGAGGGCATTCCTCGTAAGGTCAGCCAAGTCTTCTTCTCATGTTCAGTTAAAATCCTAACCATTGTTGTATTACTTGCAAGAGACACTGATGACACTACTCTGTTTTTTTCTTCAGTTTAATGAGATGTTTGAGTACAAATGCCAAAACTGCATCTGTGAGGAGTCCACCAAGACTGTGTCTTGCAAGCCTAAGGTGTGCCCACCACCACCTCTAATAAACTGCACTGGTCCAGGGTTCGTCATTGTCCAACAACCGGATCCCATAGACCCCTGCTGTTCTATCTATGTTTGCCGTAAGACACATTACCTCAATGCACATTTGTGTTTTAAAATTTTCAGATTACTACTGATGGTGATTCCTGAAGATTACTCTGAATAATTACTGTTTAATTATCTCTACAGAATGTCAATATAACAGTTGCCCAGTCACCAGAATGGACTGTCCGGTTGGATTTACTTTAGTTGTCAGTGTTCCTGAAGGGAAATGCTGTCCAGAACATACATGTGGTGAGCTCATTTATTCACAGTTTGAAGTTGTATAAAACCTATTGATGGCAGTGATACTTTTAACACAGTTTCCATTGTCTTGCTCTTTTCTAGAGCCTAAAAGAGTTTGTGTCCACGAAGAAAATGAATACCAGGTAAACAAGAAAAGGGATTGCACTTATCTTTATGATTTTATGACTGATGCTGCCCTTCTGAATGGCTAAAATACAAACATGAACATTTCCTCTTTGCATTTCCTAGCCTGATTCTTCCGTTCCTGGTCCTCCATGTCAGAGTTGCACCTGTACCAATATGGTGGACTCAAATTCTAAACTATTCAAAATAGTTTGTGAGTTTCAGCATTGTGAACAAAAATGTGAAAAGGTGAGCAAGATGTACTCATATTCACATAACATAAAATGCAACTTGTTATTCTCAGAATGTGTTTACTTGGAGCGTGAATTTGTAAAAATGGACTTTGTAACTAAATCCTCCCCTCTTTCTTTCAGGGATATGAATATGTGCGAACTGATTCAGATGAATGCTGTGGAAAGTGTGTACAGACACAATGTGTCGTCAACGTTAATGGTACCAAGCAACTCTTGATGGTAAGTTGGATCTGTTGGCTATGACTCCACATGTTCATGTTTAATAGGTTAAAGTACCTCAGTATTTTGATATCTGTGTGGATTCTGGCTTGTGTGTGTTTGTTTGTCTGTACTTCCATCTCACTGCTCTCCAGCAAGGTCAAACCTGGTCACCACCTGAGAATAAGTGTGAGCACTACACATGTGATAAAAGTGGTGAGACTTTAACAACGACCAGATCACACATTGTCTGCCCGCCATTCAAGCAAAGCAACTGCCAACCTGTAAGTATCACTTTCAATAAATTATTCTCCATTGACTAAATAAATGCTGTTGATGTTACCAAATCATTTTCTGAAAGCAAACAACATCATCCCTTTTGAAAATAGTTTGATATGTTGTTTATTTTCCTTCTTAGGACACAATTCAGACTGCAGCAAATGGCTGTTGTAAAATTTGTGAGTATGACATTTTCTTTACTTTTAAATAGAAGGTACTTAAATGAAAACAATAAAATAAATTGTATGTCTCTTTTGAAAAGGTGTGGAGAGGGAGAGGGCCTGCAAATTACAATTACAATCAACTCAGATTATGTTCGGGAACTGTCAGTCATACCAGGAAGTAAATATGACCTATTGTGAAGGATCCTGCAACACTTTCACCAAGTAACCATGATATTATAATATTTCTCATTCCTCTGGAATATCACAAACCTATTAAATTTGGTCATTTTAAAAATGTAGGTATAGTTTCTGCAGATTTTGAGTGTATTAATCAATCCTGCCTTTGCTTTCTTCAGGTACTCTGAAAAAGCAGCGACTCTGCAGCATTCTTGTTCCTGCTGTAAGGAGACACTCTTCAGCAATCGCACCATTGACTTGCACTGCCTGAATGGAGATGTGGTTCCCTACACATACATCCATGTGGAGGGTTGTAGCTGTAGCCCCACAGACTGCACCACAGCTGCTGGACAACCTGCTCGCAGGAGGCGACGCTTCACACTGGTGTAATAAAATATGTCATCATATTAATGTATCCATGATGAAAAATTTTAATCCCATATTGTCTTCACAATCATTTATCTCTTTCAAAATAATTGCCATTGTAGAGAGAGTATTATATCCATTGATCAAATAAAAAGATGCAACGTCTCATTTTTTCTATTGTCTTGTTTTTGCAATTTTAATTTGTATTGTAGCATTTGGGTTTTTAGTGATATTACTTTTGTTATAATTGATAGTTATAATTATAAATAATAACAGTGCAGATTATTAATAATTTTTTTGACAAGATAACATATAGAACCAATGTACCAATGTAAGCAAAAGGATACATTTTCTTTATTCTGTTATTACTCACAATGCAAAAGTGTGCTAGTATTTTGTATTTAATGAATAGGACAAGTTAAGATATTACATAATTTATCTAATTAATCCGGACTCTTCCATAGTGTAGTATACAGTGAATAATGCACATAGTGAAATACAGTAATAGATGCAGTTGTGGGTGTACAGTGTGAACAGAAGGGGAATGAGCACACAGCACTGAGGGGCCTCCGGTGTTGAGCACTAGAGTGAAGTTGAAATCCGCAAACAGCATTCTGATGTAGGTGTTGTTTCTCTCAGGGGCTGAGTGGGGGGCAGTGGAGATGGCATCCTCTTTGGATCTGTTGGTTCTGAAAGCAAACTGGAGACCAGGAGGCAGAGTCGCAGTCTAACACACTTCTCTGCTCCTCCATTTCAGGAGTTACTTAGTGAAAATCCTATAGTGACTGTGTTTGCACCCCGACCATTGAAATTATTAAAAAAGGCTATACATAAAAACCTCATAAAAATTAAAACCACAAGAGCAATAGTGCAAACTAATAGGAAAATTAAATGTGGACTCTTAAACATCAGATCTCTCTCTTCTAAAGGTGTACTAGTAAATGAACTAATATCAGATTATGATATTGATTTATTTTGTCTTACTGAAACCTGGCTGGGTGATGGAGAATATGTTAGCCTAAATGAATCCACCCCTCCCAGTCATATTAATACTCACATTCCTCGAGGCACTGGCTGAGGATGTGGAGTTGCAGCTGTCTTCGACTCTAGCTCTAAACCTAAATTAAAAATCTAAACTAAATTATAACCCATTTGAAAGCCTTGTTCTTGGTCTTTCGCACCCAAGTTGGAAATCACTGCAACCAATTCTTTTCATTATAGTGTACCGAGCACCTGCTCTGAATTCTTATGTGAATTTGCAGAGTTTTTGTCAACTTTAGTCCTTAAAACGGACAAAGTTATTATTGTAGGGGATTTTAATATTCATGTGGACGTTGAGAATGACAGCTTCAGTACTGCGTTTATCTCTCTGTTAGATTCCATTGGCTTCTCTCAGAGTGTTCACGAACCGACTCACTGTTTTAACCACACCCTCGACCTTGTTTTGGTGTATGGTATTGAAATTGAACATTTAATAGTGTTCCCATAGAATCCCTCTTAGTCCGACCACTGTTTGATAACTTCTGAGTTTGTATTGCTGAACTACACGCCATTGGGCAAAAATTTCTATACAAGATATCTGTCTGATAGTGCTGTAGCTAAATTTAAGGATACGATTCCATCAGCTCTAAATTCATTATCAAGTCACAAAGTAACAGAGGACTCCTATGTATAGGACTCGTCGCTCCCAAATCGATCATCTTGTTGATAGTGCTGCAGGCTCGCTGCGAATGACACACGACTCTGTAGCCCCTCTAAAAAAGAAAATAATAAAACAAAGACGGTTAGCTCCATGGTATAATACTGAAACTCGCAAATTAAAGCAAATATCGCGGAAACTTGAGAGGAATTGGCGTTCTACCAAACTGGAAAATTCTCGTTTAATTTGGCAAGATAGTCTTAAAACTTATAGGAAACCAAACCTCAATCTTTACCAACTAACTTCAATAATTTCTTCATCTAAACCATCAACCTGCCTCTTAGACCCCATCCCGACTAGGTTGCTTAAAGATGTTTTATCCTTAGTCAGCAGTTCTATACTAGATATGATTAATCTATCTTTATCAACAGGCTATGTACCACAGTACTTTAAAGTAGCTGTAATTAAACCTCTTCTGAAAAAGCCCAAACTTGATCCGGATGTTTTAGCCAACTATAGACCTATATCTAACCTTCCATTTCTCTCTAAGGTTCTGGAGAAAGCAGTCACTAAACAGCTGTGTGACTTTGTACAGAGCAATAGTTTATTTGAGGATTTTCAGTCAGGATTTAGAGCTCATCATAGCACAGAGAGAGCACTGGTGAAAATTACTAATGACCTCCTTATTGCATCAGACAAAGGACTTGTCTCTGTACTAGTTTTATTAGATCTTAGAGCTGCATTTGATACCATTGACCATCAGATCCTATTGCAGAGACTGGAACATTTCACTGGCATTAAAGGAACCGCTCTAAGCTGGTTTAAGTCCTATTTATCAGATCGATTTCAGTCTGTACATGTTAACGATGAGTCCTCCATGCATGCCAAAGTTAGTCATGGAGTTCCACAAGGATCTGTCCTCAGACCAATCCTCTTCACTTTATATATCCTTTAGGCAATGTTATCAGGAAATATTCCATAAGCTTTCATTGTTATGCAGATGATACTCAGTTATATCTATCGATCAAGCCAGATGAAACTCATCAGTTAGCTAAACTTCAAATGTGCCTTCAGGATGTTAAAACCTAGATGACCTGTAATTTTCTAATGTTAAACTCAGATAAAACTGAAGTTATTGTTCTGGGGCCTAAGCACCTCTGTGACACATTATCTAAAGATATAGTTTCCCTTGATGGGCTGCCAGGTAAAAAGTCCATTAAGACTCTTCAGCTGATCCAGAATGCTGCAGCACGTGTCCTGACAGGAACCAGGAAGAGAGATCATATTTCTCGTGTTTTAACTTCTTTGCATTGGCTTCCAGTAAAATCCAGAATAGAATTTAAAATCATTCTTCTTACCTACAAAGCTCTTAATGGTCAGGCACCATCTTATCTTAAAGAGCTCATAGTACCTTACTACCCCACCAGAGCACTGCGCTCCCAGAATGCAGGGTTAACACAACTTCTCCCCTTTCCGGTAGTCTTGTGCTTTCTCGTCCCTCTCCTCTCTCCTCCTCTCTTCCTGCAGGTTTTCTGGCTCTGGAGCTGTGGAGTCTGGATCTGTGGCTGCGGGTCACCTGCTGCCCTGTGTTCCTGCTCGACACCCTCTGCTACAACAACTATTGTTACTAGTCCTATTATTATTATTGTTATTATCATTAACATTACGATTGTTACCATTAACACTACTATAAATATCTGTACCATTTTTCATTTAGTTTATAGCAACATCACCTTTACTGTCTGTACCTCTGTGTGTATATTGTGTAGGCTGCCTCCCTCCCCTCTCTCCTTCCATCCCTCTCTTTTTCTCTCTGTTCCTCTCTCGCCCTCTCCCTCTCTCTCTCTTGTCTTCTCTCTCTCTCTCTCCCTCTCTCTCCTTCACCCCCAATCGGTCAAGGCAGATGGCCACCCACCCTGAGCCATGGTTCTGCTCGAGGTTTCTGCCTCTTAAAAGGACGTTTTTCCTTGCTTCTGTCGTCTAGTGCTTGCTCTTGGTGGGAATTGTGGGGTTTCTGTAAATAGCATCATAGAGTACGGTCTAGACCTGCTCTTTTATGAACAGCGCTGTGAGATAACTGTTGTTGTGATTTGGTGCTATATAAATAAAATTTAACTGAACTGAATTGAAACTGGTGAGGGTCCAGGCTGGCTGGGATGTTGTTTTTTATGTGCTGAAGAAACATTTTCTCAAAGCACTTCATCAAAAGGGGGGTGAGTGCCACAGGGCGGTAGTCATTCAGACTAGACACTGCAGACTTTTTAATTACAGGAACAATGGTGGCTATCTTGAAGCAGGTGGGAATCCCCTTTTGAGACAGTGAGATGTTGAAAATGTCAGTAATAACAACTAGCTGATTGGCAGAGGTCTTTAGCACACAGCCCAGGATATTATCAAGCCCAGCTGATTTACTCATATTCACTCTCAGCAGGACTCTCCTCACATCTGCTGTGGATACTGACAGTGGTCGGTCCCCTGGAGGTGGAGTAGACTTTACAGTTGACTCCCAGCTTCAGTCTGTTTTCCCTGTTTGTTGTAGTTATTGGTGATCTGTCAGCTTGTGTCTGTGTTAGTTTGTCAGTTATATTTCTCTTCTGTCTCTCTGCCTGTCTCGTTAGTCCTGATCCCTGTCACCTAGGAAGAGCGTTCTGCCTTTGCTGTGCTGTCGATTTTGGATGTTGCCAGTCCCTGCACTTTGTAAGCCTTGTTTTGCCTTCTCGGTGTTATGGATTAAAGTCCCTGAACTGTATCTCCGCTCCTGAGTCTTGCATTTGGGCGCTCACCCTCAACCCTGATAGTTATCTGTATAAAAGACACCTGGGGGGCAGAAATCTTTCTGATTGAGAGGGGGTCAAACACTTATTTCACTCATTAAAATGCAAATCAATTTATAACATTTTTGACATGATTTTCAGAATTTCTTTGTTGTTATTCTGTCTCTCACTGTTCAAATAAACTTATCATTAAATTATAGACTGATCATTTCTATGTCAGTGGGCAAACGTACAAAATCAGCAGAGGATCAAATAGTTTTTTCCCTCACTATATGTATACAGAGCCACAACCCATTCATCAACTGCAACTGCTGTATGGCAGTTCATTTTCAAATATTTGTCATACTTATAGGATATATAAATGTGTGTGTGTGTGTGTGTGTGTGTGTGTGTGTGTGTGTGTGTGTGTTAAAGTTTACCAAAGAGTAGCCTAAACAGAGCTATGTAGACAGAGTGAATAATAGGATGCTTCATGTCAGAGTGTTATTATAAGCACCCTCTTCATGGGTGTGATCTTAATGAAGACAAAACCACAGTGGTTGACACCCATAATGTATCTTTTACCACTCCTAACTGCAAACACCCAATGACCTATATTAATGACACTGAAGTCCGTTTGCTCGATCCCTCTAAGGACAGGAATCAATGATCATGAGAACAGCCAGGATGCCATTTGGATGGGTGATACCATGGCTAACCCTCTGCCTTGTACTATTTGGAGAGGCCAGTGGTATGTATGGGACACTG